AGTGGCTGGGACTTCAAGACACTTGGTTTTACGGTGAGTGTTTTTTTCCTGTTCTTTATTAGCACTTTGTACTCTGTGAATGTTAGTATTTTATTGATTTTTTTTTTAAACTTTATGTTAGAATTATGAAAATCCTGCACAAGATTTCAATGAAACTCTTTTTTTACTTCTACCAGCGCACTGTATGGCTTATTTTGCACACAGACACCCAGATCAATTTTTTTAGGTACAAACTCCTGTATCTTATTACACTTTGAATATAAATAATATGACTGGTTTTTTTACTTGGGCTTCAAAGTTTACAGTACTCTTTGACTTAGACGGAAACATTGTCTTTTTTTTTGATTAACTTAGTCGTTAAAGTGTCTACCTAACTGACTTACTATGACGGCAATTTTTTTGGTTTACTGGTGAACTTATTGCTAAACAGTTTGTCTTAGACAGAAAAGTGTTTTTTTTTAACTTATTTACTTATAAATGGCAATTATTGATAAAGTAACTGTGTGATTAGATTTTTTTTTGACTGATTGACGTAGACAACTGCAATGTTGTTTCACATTATGGTATTTATTTTTTTTAATATATTGTATACTTTAATGTAGGTTGTTTGTCAAAACTTTGCCCGTGGTGTTTTTTTTGGGTGTCCTTTTGCACGATCAAGTATCGCACTAACCAAACTCCTGTGTGAGTTTTTTTAAGTGTCAGATGAATCATGTAAGTGTTAGATGATGATGATGATGATGATGATTTTTTTTTCATACTGTATAAATTTAGCTCTGATATCTATTTATTCAAATACACATCAAGTTTTTTTGTAATGAAGTTGTCCTTCAGTAGCATCGTGTTGTGCAATATCAAGTTGAAATTTTTTTTTAAGCTACTGCTGTGATGAGTTTACTTTCTCAAGCTTTCGTTGGTCGCCGACTTTTTTTGGAGAGTGAAGGAAATTTACATATATGCGAGTATAAGGAGTAAGTAAACTCATTTTTTTAGTAGCGTATGGCCTAATTTCAACTTGATATTGCACAACACATCAAGTTATTTTTTTTTTTAACAAATTGTTAAATGTTTTTAGATGCCGAGGCAGGTGATTATTATCCCATTTTTTTCACGACTGATTATGGTTTTGAAGAATTCTTCTGCATCTGCATACAATTAGTGTTTTTTTCATGGAAAGAAAGGAAGGCTTTTGCAAGTGACTTCACCAAGGTTAGTTTCATTTTTTTTTACTATATTATATTATCCTAGCCTCCTCAGCAGCCAAYCCTTCTTTTTGACATTTTTTTGATCCCTCTGGTATCCYCTTGGCTGRGGCTCCACCAAAAAATGAAGGTGTTTTTTTTTTTTTTTTCTCCCTGAGGTAATCCCGTAATCCCTTGTAGCCTTATCAGAAAACATTTTTTTCAAAGGTATAAAACACGGAATAAGCTTGAGAGAGGAGGCTAATATAAACCCTTTTTTTTGCCTTTTGCATGAAATGGTTACATGGTACTAAATCTGGCATTCTAGAAGGCATTTTTTTCACTGGGATGTTCAAAACAAAGAAAAGTCAAGTTAGACGGTCTACGTTCMTTTTTTTTTGGAAGTTGTTTTTTTGCCCTCCGTTTCATGCAAGAGGCCTATTAATTTTTTCTTTTTTTMTATTTTGCTCTTTCCATGAAGGAGTTGATCTTGTTGCCATTAAAGAAAACATTTTTTTAAAATGTCCTCTTTATTACTTTCAGGTGATAGCCACAGTTAAAATCCAGATATTTTTTTCACTAGCTGAAAARCAACATACTATGGAAGCATTCAGGGTAAGAAACAACTGTTTTTTTATACCCAACTGRGACCGGTTGTACAAAGGTTGGATATAGTTMTCTGCTCCTTTTTTTTTGTATGGGATTTTATCCTCTCAATAAGGATTTACCCGATGGATAGCGCTATTCTTTTTTTGTACAACTGACCCTGTCGTACAAGTGTTTAACATTATATCAATTATGTTCCTTTTTTTTTATCTTCAACCTCGACTACAATAAGATCAATAAATACATAAATGAAGAAGACTTTTTTTGAAATATACAGCTGCTGCARAGTAAACCTGTTTTGTAAGTGCAATAAAAGCGTTTTTTTTCTGCTAAAGGCAWCTTGCATACCAAAAGCTACATGATCAGGGGAGTCGTTTTTTTTTTTCCAGTCGTTCTGGAACCCTTTTTCTTGGCAGACAAAGTCGTTCAAATGAAATTTTTTTTACGAAATCAATACCTTAACACGTTTTCGGATGGTACAATAGTTTATAAGAATTTTTTTACGAAAAAACCCTAACCCTAACTCTACTCTAACCCCCCCCCCCCCCCCCCCCTTTTTTTCCCCCCCCCCTGCACGCAAACCCTGCACACGGCCCTGATCATACATCTGTAGTTTTTTTTTATAATGGAGTAAAGAATGGAACATGGTTCCCATGAAGCCATCTTAAGTATTTTTTTTTTATTATCTTTCAGAGACCTCAAACAGCAGATCCTCCCTCACCTAAAGAATATTTTTTTTCGGCAGGTAAAAATGATTGTACAGTTTTGCAGTTCATTGAAATGTTGCTCTTTTTTTTTGATGACCTTGTTTTGATGGATTGTCTTTGGTTTCATGTTCTTTATACTTGTTTTTTTTCAGAGACTCGATCAACTCATTGAAGGAAGATGGTTTGAAAAGTATAAGAAAATTTTTTTGATGCCATTTGTGATTATATACGCCGCTGTAAGATTGTAGGGAGATTGCTGCTTTTTTTTCCAGAGCATGGTGACATTGCAAAACGCAACACAATGAAACAAAACAAACAATTTTTTTAGCAACAACAACAACAACAACAACAACAACAGCTAAAGCAACAACTAAAGCATTTTTTTCGACAGCGCAACAACAGCATCTATAACAACAGCAGCAGCAACTACATCAGCATTTTTTTCTACAGCAACAACAGCAGCAACAACAACAACAGCATCAGCTACAGCAACATTTTTTTTTGCGCAACAGCAACATCAACAACAACAGCAGCAGCAACAACAGCAACAACAACTTTTTTTCAACAACAGCAGCAGCAGCAACTACATCAGCAGCAGCAATAACACCAACATCTTTTTTTACATCAGCAGCAGCAACAACACCAACATCAACAACAACTATTCTCAACGTTATTTTTTTTAAAACCACAAAAAAACAAAAGTTGAAAGAATAACAAAGCAACAAATAACGTGTGTCGTTCATACCGTAGATAATAACTGGTACTGCAGACTATCACCAAACCTTAAGTTCTTTTTTTATGGTGAAGGCGAAGGACAAGGTGCTCCATCATTAGAAGCTTTGCCAAACAATTTTTTTTGGAATTGACTCTCTTGTCAATAATCTAGTCATTGCTGTTTGGCACAAATATTTTTTTTAACAATGCGACACAGATAACGGCTGCATGCGAGGGAGACTAATTAGGACGATTTTTTTTTGTGACGGCGTCGGGGAAGTCGTTGCCTTTTTTAACCAGGCAATTTTCTCAGTTTTTTTCCTTGCAACAAGAAAGGATGGCAATAAATGATAATGTGCTCGTGCTACTCCTTTTTTTTGAATAAGTCCTGGAATTAAAAACTCGTTTATATGCACTTAAAAATCCTTTGATTTTTTTAAAAACCACTAAAAGTCCTGGGTTATTCCTTACATCTGATGCAATCTACATTTTTTTTTTCAATTTGTAGCTTAAAAAGATAAGATTAATGAAAAATTGTCTCTACAAACATTTTTTTACATTAGACAAGATTTTAAAAAAATGGTCGTTCAAAATCAAAATTTTGTGTTTTTTTTTACTTGGAAGGTCCTGAATTTTGTGATGTGATTACAATGTCACACGAACCATTTTTTTTTTGACTGACTTGATATCATGCTGTTGTTTTAGTGCCAATATCAGGAATCAAGCTTTTTTTCATTGGTAAAGACTGTCCTCATGCGAAAGAAAAAAAGGCCTTGAAGGTAAGATTTTTTTAAAACCTCGACTTGTCTTGGAGCATTGTTACTGGTCAACCTAAGGGCCGATGTTTTTTTGTCTGAGACCGGAGTTTTGTATGTAAAAGCCGCTCCTTAACGCCCTGACACCTTTTTTTGATGAATCCTGGATACGCCACTTGTTCAATTTAATTTAATTTTATTTCTATTTTTTTTTTTATTTCAGCTTTTCTATTTCTCGCTCGTATACGAACGTGACACATCAGATGTTTTTTTCAATTTCACTGTAACAAATCAACAAATTGTGAGTACAATTTTTGCTTTACTGTTTTTTTATATTATTGGTTATATTATATTGGCCATATTATACATTGTTGTATTATTATTATATTATTATTTAGAGATATTTCAACACTTCTCTTTCAGTTTGATACTTGGGTCGATGGTCTTTCGGTGCTTTTGAATAAAGAGGTGAGTATGTCATGATTGTCTCGAGTTTTCCTTCTCAATAAAGTCTGTGAAGATGCAATCAATACATACGTAATCGTTGCTGTAACGGGGGGGGGAAAGGGCAAGGGGGCGACTACCCTCCCTTCAGCGCAGAGAAACCTGACATACAACTCTCGTATTTTTGCCATATCTTTTAGCTTTTTACTATGGTTCACCCCCATCCCCCCAAAAATTCTTTTTTCTCTTCCTTTGTTCTTCCTACATGAGCGAAGTTTCCAACTTATTGTTTGATTTCCTCCTTTCTTTGTGTACACAAGATGCCATCAGCGACTTCGAAAGAAGATCTAGAGTTTTTTTAGGATATGGAAATCAAGCTGCGTCTACTCGACCTGGAGAATATCCCAATACCTTTTTTTCCTCCTCCCATACCCGCTGACCCACCAAATTACAACTTTGCCTTCACATTTTTTTTTTTTCGACCGAARACCGCRAGATAGTGAGACTATCTTCGGACATGTATGCGTTTATTTTTTTTTGTACGAAGTGGGTCCGAACCCGTCACGATGCATCATCGATGATTTACTGATTTTTTTTTGTAGAACACGAATGGATTTCGATTATCCTGCGACGACTAGCGGGAAATCGTTTTTTTACTGAATACTGGAAAATATATTTTTTAAAGTATATATGATATAGTGTAATAATTTTTTTAAACAACTAATTTTATAAAATGTAGGTAAATCTATCTGTAGTCTGCTCAATGTTTTTTTATTTGAGTATGTTGAAATTGAATTTTACAGAGAGTGGTTTTTACAATAATAATTTTTTTAGTCTGAAAATTCCGTCTTCAGTGATCTTACTTATTAACTGAAAGTGCAAATTTTTTTTTTCTTTTTCTTTTTTTTTTAATCCGTAACGCTCATGATGGTGCCTAAAGGTATTTTTTTATCCTTTGCGCAATGTTAATCGTGGTGCGTAAATCGGTACATATATTACCAATTTTTTTGGAAACTGCGCACGTTGTGTTCCAGGTGCATGACGGACAAGGCGAGGTCTTGTTTTTTTGCCTAGCATCGGTTGGTTTGCGTCTTGCGTGCGCTGTATTGGGTAATTTCTATTTTTTTTTTCCCACTCATACGAAATGAACTCCAATACGTATTATATAATATATATATATTTTTTTTTGGAGTCAATTTCGTATGAGTGGGAAACGTACGGTAGAAATTACCGCATGGTTTTTTTACAGTTACCCTGGCCTGCAGAATTTTGGTGAACCAATGGGACACTAGTTTGGTTTTTTTACGATTACGATCACAGTACAGTACCGTCCGTTTCCCACTCATACGAAATCCGTTTTTTTATACGTACATGCCTACCGTAACGTTCGTTAGTTTCTACGTCTCTTCACGTAATTTTTTTGAATATTTCCTCCTATTTTCGTTTCACAGTAAACTGCTCTGTTGTTTGTTGTTTTTTTTCTC